TGTGAGGACAAAAGGACAGCCGCTCGCTGCTTAGATGGGCCAGGAAATATCTCTTACTGTCTCCTCAATTTGCATTTAATTACTGGTCTTCCACAGAGATTTGCATAACAGGTTCACTCATCAGGTACACGAACAAATAAGTAGATGATCAATCAATGTATTCATCAATCACACACTTCATCTTCAAATGTCAACCTCCCCCCCCAAAACCTCACAGAAAATCATTATCCACTAGGTCGGCCTGTTCATTATAGTGGAGCGACTTGGGAGGGCCACAAATAAACAAGAAAACAGATAATCTAGTGATGCATTAACCATAATCTCCTTCTTAGTCAATCAAGTGTTCGTTTACTACCTCCGAGCAGGTCTTTTCACCCTCGGAGAACAGAACAGACTGACAGCACACTCCCACACATAAGCAAACGCACCAGTGGGTGGGGATTTGTGCCTAATAGAGCCAGATCACTACACAACAACCCCCCTTCCTCATCCCCAGCTACAGAGACACATTCATGTGCAGCAGCAGCAGCAGTAGCAGTTAACAGTAGGAGAGGGTATCTATAGCCTCCCTGGGGTAGCATTGGCCAAGAAAAACCTTATGCAGCACGCTGCATGCCAATCCGGCCGGTGAGGTCATGGGGGATATGTTTTCAGATGGTCTAACTTATGCTGGAGCTCATGTGAGAAAGCCTCTGCAATCCGCGTCTGGGCAGGAAATCAGGGAAAGCATCCCTGCGAGGAGGGGAAGATAATGAGATGAAGTCTGCCAGCGTCTCCACGCAGGTCGGCACAACGGCAACGGCGGTGGCATCTCGGTTCGCGTCTCACCTGAGTTGGCCGGTGGGAGGTGGTGGAGGGTGTAGAGGCCGGACATTTGCTACACTGCCAAAAATATATATATATATAAGCTGTGTTGTGTCAAGGAGGTAAACTGATGCTGCAACGTGACGGTAAAACGGTATCGACAAAACAGTGAAACAGCTCCTCATCCTGCCTGCTTTTATGAGAGCAAATGGAGCCGCAGCATCTGCTGAAGTGGATCATATTTTGACTGAGCTGGTAGAAATTCTATTTTGTCGGGTAAACGCTCGTGTAGGTAAGAGCAGCAGACCAAACATCGATGCTGTGAAGCACCATCCAACTCGCTAACACATATGAATGTGGCCATGTGCTGTGACACCCTGGCTTCCTTTCGTTTTTCTTTTTTTTTCCTTACAGAGTCTGCAAATGTTAGAACGTGATAGCTCTTTGGGTGACAGCCTTGATGCCATGGCAACACCGCAAACGTCAGTTTTAGGGTGAGATGTAATCAGTGGCTGATTTTTTTTTTTTTCTTCTTCAGATAACCTAATATTATTTAGAACAAAGAGTCCTCTCCGAAGGAAAAGGACCTTGACAACTCTTTTGCTCGAAGGCCAGAGCAGACCCACTGTAGCATTTCTGATGAGGAGATTGTGCACTCAGCTAATTCTGGATTGAATTGGATTTTTTTTTTCCCAGTCTTGCACGTAATAAAAGCCAAAATGACTTGATGGGGAAATCTGATGCAGATTAAATGATTTCTCAGCCCGTGAGTGCATGTCTATCCATCCACATGCGTGCCAGACGGACGGCATACTAAGCAGACCCAGCTGCATCAACAGAAGTGCAGTTCATCAGCATTTACATCGCCTTCTTGTAATTTTTCCCCCTTCATCACAAGAAATTCACCTTGATACACTAGACACCTCGTGACCGCGGCGTATAAGCACTTTGCATATTCTTCTTTGAGCATTTCACTGAAGCAGGTGACAGATTTTAAATTCTGATCACCGATTTGTGATCTTAATTCTTGCACCGTTGCGACGTGCCCTGAAGTGATGGGCTTATGACCTGGGATTGTCTTCTGGTAGAAGGGGAACACAGAATCCTCAAACACTAAGTCTGAATATCAATGTGGCCTCCTCAAGTCAAATATTCTGCACGATACATAACAGGCAGGTGTGCAGATACTCACATCTGTCAGTTCCAAAGTGAATTTCGGGTAAAGGAAGTGCAAAAACACTTCTATTGGTGACAGCACGACTCCCTCGTGTTATCATTTACATGTGTGTGAGGGGAAGGGGGGCAGCCATCAGCCATAATGAGATCTCCGCACCTTCTGACTCATTTTCCTTCTTTCAAAGACCCCCAGGATACTGGATTTCTACCTCATGTAGCAGCACTAGCCAAAATTTTTAAAAAAAAAAGCTTAATAATGCATAAATCTCCTTTACCTTATTAAGTTGTGTAACCATAAGGCATCTCTCACATACTACACATGTGAAGCAGGTGTGCAAGTTTGTGTGAGCCATATCTCAGTTTCAGATCTGGATGCAAGCACTTCTCCAGTGGGGGAAAAAAGCTACACAAAACCTAATTTGTGGGGAGACAAATTTGGGTCAGCGAGTGTGGAGCCGGTCTGCAGAAAAGCCCGGGTGCTGAGGAGCCACACATCACTCCTCCTCCGTCAGTGAAAGGAAGCAGCACATAAGCACCAACATTTGAGTGCATTCACAGAGCACAGAGAGCAAATAGAAGCAGCAAAATGAGGCGTGGGCCTTGTTTCACTGGTGTAGCAGTTACAATCATGCCTCGGGCACTCATGAATAATAAGATACGTGATAACTAACACTCCTCACTAGACAGGACCATTATACCTCATCCTTTATAAAAAACAAAATCACTAGGACCATTTCCCCCATAACACCTCCTCCTCATCCCACAGACTTACATCCTGTTATCAGTTTAGGCTCATTTAGACTTTATCACAGCTTAATTACTGATGAGGAATTTGCATATCAGTTATGGGTTTGACCAGAGCACACCAGAGACAAATCTCTCTAAAACACACAAGAAAACACAAAACACATGCAATAAATCAGCCTTTTCCTGCACATGAATCACAGCCACCACGGCCATTATTCTCAGTTTCACCTATATCGGGGGGGAGGAAAAAAGCAGCACCAAACACATACAAGTGGATACTAAAAATAAATTTTAAAAAAATGTTCCTTGGCATGTGAGGAGATTTTTTTTTGACCTTGCGGTACAGGTCCTGGGCTGGTGGGGTTACAGCCACAACCCATGTCACAAGGGAAAATCTGAGCGCATTCAGACGGGTCCTAAGAGAACTACTTCAAGTCAATATTTCGCTTCTTGAAAGACAGACTCTGCAAAAGAGTTCACACGCTCCAATTCACACCAAAAGCAGCCTGTAAAATACTGGTTTTTATTATTTTACCTTGTAGCTGAAACATGGAGCCAAGTCAAAGGAGGGTGGGTTTGAGCTTATTTCCTCCCAAGGGGGCTGGCGGCATACCGAGAGTGGCTTGCCTTAAAAAAAGAAATGTGCTGCCTGGAGATAATTCAGGTGTCCCGAAACACGCGTCTTGGTTCCTACAGCATGTGACGGCCTGCGAAACCAGCGATGCCCTTCAAGAAATCCATAACCAGCAGATAAAGGACGGCTCCTTTGCGATCCTGTGTGAGCGGTAAAATGTTACTCTAATTCCCCCTATCGAAAAAAAAGGACTAGACCACAGGCAACCCCCCCAAACAAACAGGGAAAAAAAAACCCACACACAAGCTGAAGGGTCCCGGCGCGGCTCTGAAGCTGCAGCTGTATAGGGATCGTCTCTACTGCGCATCCGCCTGGATGCAGCTCCAGAAGAGAAAACGCCTCTGTAGCTTTGTAGCGACGGGCAGCTTTAACATCTACAGCAGCGCTGTGAGCGACTGCTGCTTCCGCTGCTGCTGCCGCTACTGTGCTCAATCCGGCCAGATGTTCGTATCGCTTTCACGGGCTTTCGCTGGCGACGCAGGGTTCAGCGTGAGTTAATCCAGATTGACTGAAGGGTTGCTGTCGTAATATATCCCCTCCCCTACCCCTTCCCCTCCTTACTGCCCCCGGACTACTGTCAACCACCGACCCGGCTCCATTTCTGACCAGAGGTGTTGTGCTCGGAATGGTAATCGGTGCGCTCTGAGCTGCACAGAGACCATTTGTGTGCACAGACAGATGCAGTGCCTCCCAGCCTATCTCACAGGCAGGCATCATCATTTATTCATGGAGACTGAACTCTGCTGCACGAACGTTGAGTAGATTGAGCTTCTGATATTCTCTAAGAATTCAATTTGATTAAATGAAGAAGAAAAAAAAATATGGGGCTGAGATGCTGATGCAGATTCAGACATGCAGGACATGAAGGCTAAGAAAGCCAGGCAACAACAAGCAGCCCGTAGGCTTAAACAAGACTGGTATTGAAAAATCCATCCATTCCCTTGGATCAAACCTCTGCTGCTGCAGGTGCTTCTAGTGGGTGAACGCCAAAAATAGGCTATAGCTGAACAATGCTGCATGTATTACATAGATTATTGGCAAGAAAGTGTTGAGTTGGCTGAAAGAGAAAGGCCCGGCTCCCCCGTGGGTCTGCTTGGCGCTGGACCCATCCCTATCTGATGCAATGATCCTATGGCCTTTTGTGCAAGTTGGCAAAGTAGCCTATATGTGCACAAGTGTATTCAAGTGCAGCAGCACTTTTGCTCCTGTAAGAACAATGACCCATACCACCCCAGGGCCTTACAGCACTTTGAAATAGGTGTTTGTTGTCATCCAAAAGAATTACCCTGAGGATCTCTACTCTAGATCAATAACTCCATCCAGTTACAACACACCCACTTGAGATCAATATGAATAGCCTAAGTGGTTTAAGCATTCACTGTTATCCAGAACTGGAAGGGCATGAGCTTTTTGGACCACGTGTGTGTTTGTGCACGAACTGTACATGTATGAAAACATGTCACACTATGACTTTATTGTCTCGAGAGATTTGCAGAATCAATGCATCCTTGTGAGCATGATTCATTTTTTTTAAACCAGCCACATCAAGAACATGTTAGCATTTTGCTGGTGGGAAGTGTTAATGTCAAGCTTGCATCATGAGCTCACAGTTGGTGATATGAAATGACACTGACATGTCTTAGGCTTTTTGTGATGCGTTCCTTTACTGTTGTGATTCAGACTTTCCTTCTTTGCTTTTCTTTCTTTCTTTCACTAGTGCATGTCCCTCAGGAACCGCTGGTATGTGAGGCTGTCCGCCCGCTCGCCGGTCCGGCTCTTTTTCTCCAAAAACAGGACCACGGTGTCCAGTGGAGGGTCAGCGATGCTGCGACTCGACAGGGTCTCTGTGATCCCCAGCAGCTCACGCACGCATGCAGAGATGACCTGCGGGGTACACAGCGGGATTTAAGAAAGCACGCTTAATGTTTACATTATCTAACCTTATTTAATAAAGTCGTCCCACTAAGAGGGAGAGGACAATCTTGTATAACAGGGAGAAAGGTTACAGGGTTACACTCATAAAAACTGATGTATCAAATGACTTACAGGTCAAACCAAAAAATAATTATGACTTAACAGCGTGTACACGCTTCTTTGCCGAGACTGTTTTTCTCCATACCACTCATACCACAGTTTATGCTTCCTGGGAGTTTAGCAGAGTTGAATGGCACATTTAGCCAATTTAGTTATGACCCCAGAAATACAGATTAGAAAAAACTGTCACTGTAACTGTAAACAGCCTATATTGGATAGAGCTGATCTGAGTGTGTTTTCTGGCAGTGATGTTTACAGCACACGCTTTAATTGGATGCCGCGCTGCTCTGAGAGAAAAAAAAGAAAGAAAGCCAAACATGTGCTGTTATTTTGTGGTGCTTCCAGTCAACTTGTAGTAGTGCATACTGCAGAGATTTCTAACACAACTGAAGGTGGTTATAACAGTTATTTTTTTACACTGTTTTCTGGCTTTTTATGTGTTATATCGTCGAAGAAAGATATAACGCCTTTATAACCTCCCAACACATCTTAAGGGAGATCAATTACACCTTTACCCATGTTTTGACCTTTATAAAGGGGATAATATATGTATGAGTAATCCCTATGAACCTTTAGAGTGCTCTAGACTTTTTCTGCTCTTGGCTCTGTACAATGGCAGTGGGACAGGATGTTCTCAGTATGGCCATCCGAGGCCTTAGATGATAGGAAAGATGGATGCAGTCACTGTGATATCAACTAGAACATTTTCACCCTCATCATGTTGGTGTTTTGAAGCCAGCTGTGACTGAGAAACCAACTTATCACTGACAATTTGTCAGGCAACTTCCTTGAAAATCCTCCTTTCTTACTTTTACACAGAATCTTTTTTACAAACTGGATGTCATGGTTTATTCAAAATGATCTGAAACAAGGGACTGAGTCCTAAAACTCATCAGGAAAGAACTGCTACATTCTATTTTCCCATAGACTTCTATACAACTAAAACCTTTTTTGAAGCTGCCCCCTTTTACTGGTCATTTGCTGGTCATTAAAATATATAAGATTAATTGCATTAAATAGTTCATTTTTTAGACTCAGAAGCTGTCTCAATCTTTGATACTATCTACACTCAATCAATCAGCCAATTAAGTGGCAGCAATTTAATGCATTTTAGGCATATAGACATGGTAAAGATGACCTGCAGAAGTTCAAGCTGAGCGTGGTTGTTGGTGCCAGAAGGGGTTGGTCTAACTTTTTCAGAAACTGCTGATCTAATGGGTTTTTTCCTGGACAACAAGAGAATGGTTCAAAAAAGAAAAAATATGGACGAAAATGTTTTGCTGATATAAGAGGTCAGAGGAGAAGGGCCAGGCTACTATGAAGCTATGAAGGTAACAGTAATACCAAACTCATTACAATAGGGTGCAGAAGAGCATCTCTAAATGCACACCATGTTGAACCTTGAAGCAGACTGGTTACAGCAGCAGAAGACCACACCAGGTGCCACTCCTGTCAGCTAGGACCAGAAAACTGAGGCTACAATTCCCATGGGATTACCAGAATAGGACAACAGAAAACTGAAATTTAAGTCTTAGGCAAACAGATCTGGCTTCCGAGCTAGGCAGCCCTACCCACCTGCTGCTCATACCATTTGTTTACAAGTGCCAGCCATTCAGAGGAAAGATGGCTGTTTCAGAGAGAGAGTGACCTTAAAGACTGTACTAATACGCAGTATAAGATAAATAGGAATTTGCGTAATCCGCGAATGCTTTCGAAGAATCTAACAACAAAATTATAGTGCGCTAACTTAGCATGACAGATCCCCTTTAAGTGATGTGTCACCAACCCTTTGTGTTTTTAAATGCATAACCTGACTCTATTAAGCCATATATCAAATTTTTATATATAAATAGGGCAAGGTGATAAAAATGGCGTTGCTTATTTAGCATCTCGTATTACTTACTTGGCAAGTTCTAGTCAACAACTAGAACTAATGCCTCTTTTTAATACCTGCATGTGTTTAAAATCTGTGACTCCCAGTCTTGGCAAGTAGATGCAATTCACGTAAATAAGCTTTCTTCCACTTATGAGGTTGTCCGTGAAACATGCCTGCGACAGAAAGACGTAATAAAGTGAGAAGCTTAAGAAGTGAACTGATTCAATGGAGGCTAACTAGCTTCTTTTTTTCACTTTGTCAATGTTGTCACTTAAGGTGACAACACCTTAAGGTTTAACTTACTTTATATTGCGGAAATCCTAAAGACTCAATCCATCTCGCAACATCATGACAATCCCACTGTAGGAACTCCATGTTGCCTCTAAGCGTGTTGCCATGGAAACTGTTACCTGGCACCAGGCGTTAATAAGCGTTTACTTCGAAACTTTTTATAAAATCACTTTTATTTATATTTTGTCCTAAGAAAGTACCGGGCCTTGTATTTACGGCAAGGGACATCTTTAACACAGAAGTTTGAAAACAGTTTTCTCCTTATCCTTTTTTTCCAGGATCAATCAAGTGTCACCGACGGCTCAACTGCTATGGCTTTGTTTTCCTTGCCACAGCCAATCAGTGTCTCGTCATTTAGGGTGGCTGGTATACCGCGCAGAACGATTGGCTTTTAAGTTAAGTATATCCCGCCCACACTGAAAGGAATCGACGAATGGTTGCGCGCGCAGTTTTCGTTGATCCACACATCATCCGCATTGGTTCTCCTCATTCACATCCACACCAGGGAAAGGTTGTAGATCGGCGAAAAGCGCAGCTTCGTATTCACCGATCTGCCCTCTGGAACGCTTCTCAAGCTCAAGTTCTCTTTGCACTCCAACGTCTCCTGGGTCGGTTGAAGGGCTTCGGAGCAGGAAAAAAGGCACTGCACTCTCCACAATGGCGGCAATTCTCCGATCCCTTTTAAATAAGAAGGTAGAGTAAAATAATGAACGTGCAATATACAACTGTTTGTTCGGTTTATGCACCAAACTCGGCTAACAACCTGCGCTGTTAGCTAGCAAAGTCACACGTTGTACACAGTCCACTCCTCCTTTTTGCAAGTACATGGCAATATATTATATATATATTGGTTAGCTAACACCAGGCTTTATTTACATCACGTGGACAGATATGGCACGTCAGTGGATCATTCAGACGTGCCTCTTGTGAGACCTTGCACAGACAGCGATTTAAAAGCTCTAAATAATGGTCTGATATGTCATTTCTCACAGGCCCCCCTCCAGCTGGGTCGTATGTGCTACTCATCCTCCTCAGTGGTAAGAGCCATCACTCAGGACCTTTTATAGCTTAGCAGTGGTTCCGTGTCATGCGCTAAGGGCCGCCTCTTCTGATTGTCAGAAGAGTATGCTTGTTTACTTTTGTCAGATTGTGTTACAGCATGACATTTGTTTATAACAGAGTAATATTTGCCTTATTGGAAAAACATATGTGTGTATTTCGGTGAAGTTTTTCTGATTGAATTAGCATAATTTCTAAATGATTTTATTTATCACTTCGAAGGGAGTCTTGGCTAAGAAAGCACAGGATGTCAGACTAAATCCCGAAGCCTTCCACCAAAACCTCAAAAGAGGCAATTCCTTTGCTCATTACAACATTCATTTCTTTGATTATGTTTATTATGCATGTTTTCAATATTTTTTTGGCTTGTGTTTCTCAGTCAAAAGTATATCCATCACATCCAGTCAGAGACATCGATTTTTACAGTTATTTGCACTGCAGCTTTGAATATTAGCTTTTAAGACATCAATGTCAAATGGCCCGTTAAAGGATGCAGTCCACCCCATAGATGAAAATGCAAAGTGGGAAAACTGCAGAGAGGGAAGTTATAATTTTTTAAATGTAATTACTTTTAAATGTATTTTGCAGCAAGGAGCATTGTGTTGCAAGTCATCATTAACAATATATCACTTCAGGAGAGTTGTTGGCTCGGTGTACATGGAGGTCAATATTTGATCACCTTTATTCTTTAACACAGCCTGAACTCTCTTAGGCAGCTTTCTTGTAATTTCTTTAAGTAGTCTTCAGGAATACTTCTCTAGGCTTCTTGAACGACATCAAAGCTCTTCTTTGGATTTTGGCTACCTTTTATTCTGTTCTCTATCAAGACAATCCCACACTGCTTCAATAACGCTGAGGCCGGGCTCTGGGGAAGCCAGTCCATGACTGATGGTGTTCCATTGTGTGTAGGTGTGTGTTTGCGGGGTTTTTCTTCCTAACCTTTCTAACTTTTACTACATTGACAGTGTATATGGGATCATTGTCATGCTGAAAAATGAAGCTTTTGCCAATCCAAAGCTTTCCAGTGTTGAATAGTGGAACAAATCCTGATGGTACTTTTCCTGTTTCTTAAGGACATGACTTTCAGATACTGTTCATCTACTGCTGTAGATAATGTTTAGGCCTGCCACTTATTCTTTTGTCTTCCAGTTGTTGAGTTTCCTCTAATTTTTTCAAGGGAACAGTTCGCAACATGCCAAGATATGAGAAGTTTTGGGCTAATGGCTCTTTAAGAATCACCTTGTAGGTGCAAAAATACTATTTGATGCCAGTTTTATCAGTTTTTCATTGACTCCGCTACAGAAGTAGGAACAAATTATGTGTTTTTGTAACAGGCTACGAGTAACATTCTTCTGGAAAGACTGGACTGTAGCCAGTGTATAAAGAAAAACTTTGTAAGAGTTTCAAAAAGCCCGGAGAACTATTGCTCAAGACTATTCTAAAAAAAACTCAAATAAAATGAATAAATAAATAAATATGTCTCTTCGGTAGCAAAATATAAAGAAAAGTGGCTCAGGACTCTTGCACATTTTATATATGTTAAAGTTTAATAGATTCCCGGTGGTATTTTGTCTTTTTTTTTTTTGCTCAAACTGAAGCTGTCTATTTTTCTGTCAGCCGACTGCTGCAGTGCTAATGGATATAGACCTTGACTTTTCCAGTGCATACGCACTGTATACTAAAAATCTATCTTGAGTTAGGAGGAGGAATGGGATTGGAACACGGGTAATGTAGCATGGAAGATGTACAGCTTTGCTTGGAAATGTCTGAGGCAAACTTAAATTAAACAATTCAAAATGAAGCTGTAACACAGCTGAGTGCGTGCAAAGTGAAGTAGAGCAAAATGCCTTGGAAAATAACTGCATACGTTGTGGTGATGAATGGATGCGATGGCGACTGATGCATCCACATTGAATCATATGCTTCTTTGATCGTCTAGCCCACCACCAAGCTGTTCATCGATGGCAAGTTTGTCGAGTCCAACACGTCTGAGTGGCTTGACATCCACAACCCTGTAAGTATTCATAGATGAACTGTGCCCAACCTGCACAGAGGCTGGAGTAATGCGATCTGGCTGCAAGTATACAGTGTAAAATTTGTTGTAGCAACTTGTGAATATCGGATGGAATAAATAAGTCCTGATTTGTCAAATTTTAATTGCCTAATATGTAAAACGACAGAAATCTGAGCCCAGTCTACACAACCCGTCATGTTTTATATCCTCCAAGAGACGAGCCTAGTGCATAGCTTGTCAGATACAAGCCTCTTGCAAAACAGTGATGAACGATTGTAGCATGAAAAGATATTCATCTACTTCCACCGCATAAGGATAAAAAAAAAGTTTTTTGTTATTAATATTAATGAAATGATGCACATGCAAATAATGACTTCTCCTGCTCTCAGTTTACTTGTCTGATTGTCTTCATGGACCGTGTCCTGTTCTGCAGGCCACTAATGAAGTGGTGGGACGTGTTCCTAAAGCTACACAGGAGGAGATGCTGGCAGCTGTGGACTCGTGCTCCAGAGCCTTTCGCTCCTGGTCCGAGACCTCCATCCTCAGCCGGCAGCAGATCTTCCTGCGCTACCAACAGCTCATCAAGGACAACATTGTAGGGAGATGGGTCACATGTATGTCAAAGTAATTTATTGATTTTGTTGAAATAATTCTCTCCAAATTCTTCTTCTAACATTTCAGAAAGAGCTGGCTAAGATCATCACTTTGGAACAGGGCAAAACTCTGGCTGATGCAGAGGGAGACGTATTTAGAGGACTGCGTAAGTAACGCATCGACTCGACTTTTAGTCTTCCTTTGGCGTCCTGATTAGATTAGTCCTGCTGTAGATATAGATAAGATCAAATTCCTCAAGTGAAGCAGTTCATACAACAGTCAACACTCTATGCAAAAAGGGACATTCAGCTTTAATTTAAAAGTGGACAGTAGTAATAGTTGGGCCATATTAGAGGCTTTAACCGCTTTTAATAAGGCTTTAGTTCCAAGAAGAAAAAGGCTGCAATGCTTTTGCAGCAGTACCATAATAACTCCTGATGTTAAAGTGTGTTCCTGTCTTCTGTAAAACACTTTTCACACTATGCTTTTAGTTGCACTCTATTTAAAGATAATTATGCAGCTTCCCTTGCTGAGGTGCACTCGTTGATTCTGGCAGCCTTGCATCAACAGGAATCATGTTTGGAAATTAAGGGCTGTGTGCGGTTGCAGACGAAGGAATTAATTTTTGTTTATTACAACACGCAGCTGCCAAGTAATTTTTTTTTTCTTTCTTTTTTTTTTTTCTTCTTGGTGTTGATGCCAGTTTCAGGGTGCCTAAATTATTCTGGCAGGCTAACTTTTCTATTATCAGCTGAAAGACAGGCTGCATGTGCAGGTGCGCTGCAAGTACCGGGGCTAATGGTGCTTGAAATACTTACAAGTTTTATTACAGTTTTTTCATGGGAAATGGAGCTGGCAGGCTTTTTTTTTCTTTAATCTTAAGAGGCAAATGTGTAAATTTCAATAATGGACTCATCAGTTAACTGTGTATGTGTTATTTCAGATTGCTTATCTAGGCACTTTGTTATTGGCTGACTTCCTAAATCCTTTTCTCGCTCATTCCTCAGAGGTGGTTGAACACGCCTGCAGCATTACAAACCTCATGCTGGGGGAAACCTTACCCTCCATCACCAAGGACATGGACACCTTCACCTACCGCCTGCCCATCGGAGTGTGTGCCGGCATCGCACCTTTCAACTTCCCCGCCATGATTCCTCTGTGGATGTTCCCTATCGGGATGGTGTGAGGCAACACCTACCTGATGAAGCCCTCTGAGCGAGTCCCAGGCTGCACCATGCTTTTGGCCAAAATGCTCCAGGATGCCGGAGCACCAGATGGTACAGTCAACATAATCCACGGACAGCATGCAGGTGAGTGCGTAATTCCCTGCTCATTGAGGAGCTCACAGTCTGTGTGTGTCGTAAACAATAGAGAAAGGTCCAAGGATGAGTCAAACATTAATCATATACCCTTCTGGCAATATGTAGATAAGATATTTCCATAAACTGTGCAGCCTATATCTGTAAGTAATCTACAGGCATTGTTGAAGCAGGAGAATTTGAATCTCCGTATCAGTGCTCGTACATTGTGCCCTGAGGGTGTGACACAGAAGAACAGAAAATATTGACTTTTTTCCTTGTTTGTGCAGCGGTAAACTTCGTCTGTGACCACCCGGCCATCAAAGCCATCAGTTTTGTGGGCTCCAACCAGGCTGGAGAGTACATCTACGAGCGGGGCTCAAAGAATGGCAAGAGAGTGCAGTCCAACATGGTATTCACAGACCGAATATGCTCCTCTTACACTGGCAGTGTTTAGATGGCACATGGTGACAGTAAATAATGGGGCAAGAATCAGCTGCCTCTCCAGTCAGGTCTTTGTCCTTGGTTGAAGTCCAACTCTTAATTGCTTTGGACAGCAGCTGGCAGCTGTAGTCCTCGTCCTGCTCTGAAGCTGGGTGACTTCGGTGTAACAAGATATAAACCAGCTTCTTGTGCTGGTTAGAGTGGCGCTTGAGTATGTAGAGCGACGCCTGTGAATCAAGTCCTTGACTGACACAACAGCAGCAAAATAAGAGCAAAAAGCGCACCTAATAGTACGTCTGTTGTGCCATCTGGGAAGAAAAATGAACAATTATTTGCAAAAATAAAGAAATAGTCAGGTGGATTGCAGGTATGTTGGTCTTGAGCTGGGAAACATACCTGCCAGATCTCACCTATAGTAAGTCCGTGTCTGGGAAATCCTGATGGAACTTAGTTTTCATTTATTCATTTATTTTTTTAGACTATTTGTAAAAATTGTTATTACTAATATGAATGAAAATGGGTAGTGGTCTATTTCCTATTGCTGTTACCAAGACAGTGATTAAATCCTCTGCTGTCAGTCACTAGGATTTGTAGCATATGTGATTAGCGCTCTTATGTCTCCGTTTGATGTTCTGCACTCTTTTGGACTGAAATCATACAGATTTTGTGTCCTACATATTGCATTTAGGGTGCCAAGAACCATGGTGTGGTGATGCCTGATGCCAACAAAGAGAACACCATCAACCAGCTAGTGGGCGCTGCTTTTGGAGCAGCTGGTCAGCGCTGCATGGCTCTCTCCACTGCTATTTTTGTTGGGGAGTCTCGTGAATGGCTCCCAGAGCTGGTGCAACGCTCTAAATCGCTCCGTGTAAACTCAGGTAACTTGTTGCGTAACCGTATCACCATGAAAAATAAATAATAGGGGTGCAACGATACACAAAATTCACGGTTCGGTTCGATACTTTGGTGTCACGGTTCGATATTTTTT